CCAACAGTGAAAAGAAATGTACGAAAGATTGAGAAAATTCGTGTTAGAATTATTAATCTTACTTTTTCGGTCATATTTAATAATATATATATATATATATATATATATATATATATATATATATATATATATATATATATATATATATATATATATATATATATATATATATATATATATATATATATATATATATATATATATATATATATATATATATATATATATATATATATATATATATATATATATATATATATATATATATATATATATATATATTGAAAGCCTATATAACATGTAGGCTTTCGAAACTGTTGTCGCTACATGGGAAATGCAATAAAAAAAGCTTTTATCTACTTTACTATTTATGCATTATACTGCATTTAAATTAATTTTATTTATAATATTTTTTTCAGCAAGTGATAATAATTAGTAATGAAATAATATTTATAAATAATACCATTCATCTTGGTTAAACGTGTTAGGTCCTTGTAAAGTTCGTTTGAGTGATAAATGTAAATCACTTTTCAGTGATAAATGTAAAAATGTGCACACTAACGGATATATGAACAATAACTGTTGGGTAGACATGTTAATAGGCGGGGAGAAACAGTACAGTATTAGATAATAAAGTCGTTTGTTTGCTTTTGTGTTCTTTATTAGGTATAAGGCAAGTCAATCAATGCTGTTAAATACCCAGTGAATAAAATAAGTTAATGGAACATGTTAATGTTCAACAGGAACGTTTAACGACCGCATTTAGATAACTATAAATAAATTTATCGTTCTGATTTTCGTTAACGGCTAAGATCATAATTTACTGACGGTATCCCAGTATGGATGTGTCTACAATATAGCTATATTGCAAGTCTTGACATGTTATTAAACAGTCAGTTACTAACTTGACAAATGCAGCGTACTAATTGGAGCGAGATAATCATTTATTTAATGTAATTGCATATCAGTCAATGTAATTTATTCTCATTCACAATTTTTGTTGATTAATTTGTTATGTTCATACATTTTAATTTATAATAATTACCTTTAATCATATCTGACAAAGTATTAATCCCTTGGAAATATTATTAATAAGGCTGCTCAACTTACATCAGCTGCCGGAAATAAACTACAGAACAATGCCGAAAAGGACGAAACCTATTTTCACTAATGATTTAACACCGACCAAATGAATTCACGAACGACTATACAAGGATGAAAACTATTTTCTTGAACGACTAAACAAGGACGAAAACCATTTTCACGAATGCCTAAAAGGCAACGAAAATACTTTTCAAGGGCGAAAGAACGTAAATTAAAACCCGTTCTTACAATACGAATATTTATAGAATGTGTGTTATTACCATAAAAGGAAATTTGCGTAAGTAAATACAAGCAAGGATATATATCTTTGATATATTTTTGTCTTGTGACAGGCAACGTTTGGATGAATGGCGGAAGGATATGAATTCATATGAAGTGTCGGTAGCTTATTAGCACTATTCCAAATGTGAAGCTAATTAGTGGAAATTATTTTTTTTTTAGAAATATCGTTCACTTTAACATTATCACTCTTGCTTTGTGTTGCGTTGATCATCAGTTCCTCCATTGTATTAATTCTTCGCTTGTGTTGCGTAACGGTCCTGATTTAACGTTAGGTTTCAGCGGCATAAAAACTAAATACGAGATTACACTTGAATGTATAACGTGACTATACTGAACTTTGTCATAATGTTGTGAATAAAGCAACCATGCAGTGATCATAAATTCCCTCTTATGTTCTTTCGTTGAATTTTCAACAAGGATGTTGGAATCCGTATGAAACTTTTGTTTCATACGGACTATCTTTTGTTCTTATTAGTATTTTATTTATCCTTCCTCAAATTTTAAAGTAAATACTTCTTAAGTTCGTTGCTGTGCGTTCGGGCATGAGTCATGTTGGACTCCTGACAACCTCAAGTTCACCTCTCTCCTCCAGCAAGGGACTTTCAAATTAACACAAATCATTTAATGGGCTCTATGTTTCCTCCAGCACATAATTGTCAGCGTGGGAGAAACTTAATTTGCTGTCTTTTAATGTATTTTTACAAAAAAGCTCAAAATGCTGTTTTTTTTATTTTGAATGCAACATTGCGCATACGGAACGTTATTTACTGTTTGGTTAGCGTAGCCTAAAGCCGTTGTTGATGCTTCCAAATATGAAAAAATACGAATTTATTCAGTAGATATTCAAACTATTATGAAATATGTTGCGTTTCATGTTTTTTGTAACAAAACCAGACACATATGTATATTTATGTTAAAATTTTCAAATTCTTTTCCTTGTAATACAGTACAACTTTTCTTTGCTGATGGATATTGTGCTCTTTGTGGTGTCAATGGACGTGGTTATTGCAGCAAAAGAGGAATGGCTTATAAATCACATCATTTCAGATATTTATATAGGCAATAGTTAATACTTGTCCAGTATCACACAATACCGGATGCACTTATATTATTGTTGCGTGATTAATGGCTTTGTAAAAAATATCAATGCTATACTGTACCTTCTTTGTAAAAATTCTACTTCATACCCTCTGTAATATTTTTGTAGTAATTAAAATTATTATTATTATTATTATTATTATTATTATTATTATTATTATTATTATTATTTAGTATTATTATTATTTACACCAGACTCTTCAAGCATGATTGTGTTTGTAATGGCTTCATCTCGCCTCTGGTATTTCTGCTATGACTACTGCTGCTGCAGTTATTGCACTTGTTGAGGCTATTACTCGTGCAGGTGTTATTACTGCTCTTGTTACTGTTTGTGTTATTATTTCTCTTGTTACTGCTAGTGTTATTTTTGTTTATGTTGCTGTTATTACTGACTTTATTACTGTTTGTGATATCGTTGTTGATCTTTTTACTGTTAGTGTTATTGCTCTTTTTACTGATAATGTTATTATTGCTCTTTTTACTGCTAGTTTTATTATTGCTCTTTTTACTGCTAGTGTTATTATTAATTTTATTGCGTGTTATTATTGTTCTTTTTACTGCTAGTGTTATTATTGTTCTTTTTACTGTTAGTTTTATTATTGCTCTTTTTTTCTACTAGTGTTATTATTATTACTCTTGTGGCTGTTATTACTGCCTTTGTTACTGTGTGAATTATTATTGCTCATGTTACTGCAAGTGCTATTGTTGCTCTTGTTGCTGTTATTACTGTTCTTGCTGCCTGCTATTACTGCTGTTATTAATCTTGTTATTTCTGTTTATATTTCTTTTATTTTTGCTTTTGTTGTTGTTACTACCGCTACGGTTAATAATCTTGTTGCTGTTATTACTGCTCTTGTTGTTGTGATTACTGCTCTTGTTGCTGTTATTACTGCTCTTGTTGTTGCTATTACTGCTCTTGTTGTGATTACTGCTCTTGTTGCTGTTATTACTGCTCTTGTTGTTGTGATTACTGCTCTTGTTGCTGTTATTACTGCTCTTGTTGTTGTTATTACTGCTCTTGTTGTGATTACTGCTCTTGTTGCTGTTATTACTGCTCTTGTTGTTGTGATTACTGCTCTTGTTGCTGTTATTACTGCTCTTGTTGTTGTGATTACTGCTCTTGTTGCTGTTATTACTGCTCTTGTTGTTGTTATTACTGCTCTTGTTGTTATTACTGCTCTTGTTGTTGTGATTACTGCTCTTGTTGTTGTTATTACTGCTCTTGTTGCTGTTATTACTGCTCTTGTTGTTGTTATTACTATTACTGCTCTTGTTGCTGTTATTACTGCTCTTGTTGTTGTGATTACTGCTCTTGTTGTTATTATGCTCTGTTGCTGTTATTACTGCTCTGTTGTTGTGATTACTGCTCTTGTTGTTGTTATTACTGCTCTTGTTGTTTGTTGTTGTGATTACTGCTCTTGTTGCTGTTATTACTGCTCTTGTTGTTATTACTGCTCTTGTTGTTATTACTGCTTGTTGTTGTGATTACTGTTCTTGTTGCTGTTATTACTGCTCTTGTTGTTGTTATTACTGCTCTTGTTGCTGTTATTACTGCTCTTGTTGCTCTTATTACTGCTCTTGTTGCTGTTATTACTGCTCTTGTTGTTGTTATTACTGCTCTTGTTGTGATTACTGCTCTTGTTGCTGTTATTACTGCTCTTGTTGTTGTTATTACTGCTCTTGTTGTTGTGATTACTGCTCTTGTTGTTGTTATTACTGCTCTTGTTGCTGTTATTACTGCTCTTGTTGTTGTTATTACTGCTCTTGTTGTTGTGATTACTGCTCTTGTTGCTGTTATTACTGCTCTTGTTGTTGTTATTACTGCTCTTGTTGCTGTGATTACTGCTCTTGTTGCTGTAATTACTGCTCTTGTTGTTGTGATTACTGCTCTTGTTGTTGTGATTACTGCTCTTGTTGCTGTTATTACTGCTCTTGTTGCTGTAATTACTGCTCTTGTTGTTGTTATTACTGCTCTTGTTGCTGTAATTACTGCTCTTGTTGTTGTTATTACTGCTCTTGTTGCTGTAATTACTGTTCTTGTTGCTGTTATTACTGCTCTTGTTGTTGTTATTACTGTTCTTGTTGCTGTAATTACTGTTCTTGTTGCTGTTATTACTGCTCTTGTTGTTGTTATTACTGCTCTTGTTGTTGTTATTACTGCTCTTGTTGCTGCAACTGCTCGAGGGAATGGATTTGGAGCGACTATATAATTAGTACTATTATCTATAAACTATCCATGGTTAGGTTAAGGTTTCATTATGTTAATACGGTGGAAAATGTGATATCGAGGATAATGTGAAATATGGAATTCGAAAACTATTTCAGTGTGCCAGAGAATTCCGTTTACAGGAACCCAAATTCTTCAAAGAAAACGTTTTCAGCAAACACTTTTTATATTTTAAACCAATGATTCATATTAAAATAACGTTATAACTTGAGAATAATCTTTTTTTACGACAAAGGATCGTTTGCCAGTTTACATGTAGATTATTACTGAAACCGTAATATGCTTTCAGATCTTCACACATATCTAGATAACTGTCCTGAGATAACTATTTCGTATTCCATTTAAAAGGGGGCAGGGGGGGGGGTTGTCATGGTAATGGATTTGCTGTAACCTCTCTCCACCGCCATCGCCAATGACACATTCTCCAATACCCGTTTTCTCTGTTTACCTTCAACGCCACCACCAACACCACCAACAACACCACCAACGCAGCCTTTTCCCAGCACCCATCTTTGTTTACCTTCTGCCCCACCAGCATGCTCTTTCATTTAGCGTCCTCGGACGTCCTTGACCACCCCGCACCGACCCGTCGTCCGCGCATACCACACCAGATTGATAGACAAACTAACTGTTACTGGAACATTTTTTCCCTTAGAGTTAGGAAAGTATTTTGGGGAGGTTATCTTGAGATGATTTCGGGGCTTAGCGTCCCCGCGGCCCGGTCCTCGACCAGGCCTCATTTTGTTACACACCCCTAGGAAGGAGCCCGTAGCAGCTATCTAACTCCCAGGTACCTATTTACTGCTAGGTGAACAGGCACATTAGGACGAAAGAAACTCTGGCCATTTGTTTCCGCCTCCACCGACGATTGAACCCGGAACCTCGAGGACTACGATTCCGAAGCGTTGTCCACTCAGCTATCAGGCCCTCATTGCCTGGTGGCCTGTCAGGGGAGGCAATAACTTGATATTTTTCCACGTATAGCCATGCATTTCGGGTAATACAACCAGCTTCGTTCTTGAGAAGTCGGGATTCACGGGGCGGGAATCCCGACTTCGAATAACGGGCGGGACAAATTGTCGAGCACGTTTACTGTCACCTTATGCCCCTGTTCACCTACCAGTTAGCTAACTTTTTTTGGTTTGCATCTTGGGAAGGGGCCGTACTTTAATCTTGAGGGGGGGGGGAAGGGCGCGATAAAGTTTACCGTATATATATATATATATATATATATATATATATATATATATATATATATATATATATATATATATATATATATATATATATATATATGTGTGTGTGTATATCACGAAAATAAACACGTGATTAAGAATGTGACAATGTCAGACCACGGAGGAAAAATGAAACAGAAATTTCCTTAAGTACTTTCGTATATTAAATACATCTTCAGAAGGACCTTCTGAAGATGTATTTAATATACGAAAGTACTTAAGGAAATTCCTGTTTCATATATATATATATATACTGCCTGTCCTACGACAAAATTAATTATTATATTGCAAATGTTGAGTGGATTAGTGTATATGTACCTGATCAGGTGTTGTTCCTGTGGTGCTTGTCACTCACACAGCCTCGCCTCATCTCTCTTGGCCTCGCCTCATCTCTCTTGGCCTCGCCTGATCTCTCTTGGCCTCGTCTGATCTCTCTTGGCCTCGCCTGATCTCTCTTGGCCTCGTCTGATCTCTCTTGGCCTCGCCTGATCTCTCTTGGCCTCGTCTGATCTCTCTTGGCCTCGCCTCATCTCTCTTGGCCTCGTCTGATTTTACTGGAAATAGCGTGATCTCACTCTCCGCCGGGTATTATTAAGGCTTCGCTCAGAAACATAACGTGTATGGGTTTAGATTCTAATACGAGTATGATCATAACTAGGCATAAATCTAAACTATTAATTACAGGTGTACATAAATTAATGTAAAGATGAACTGCCTCGCATGTTCCAGTGGCCCTGTTGTGTTTCTAAACAAATTTATAATTTAGAAGTTCACATTCGAAATTAATTTTGTTTGTCTTAGATAAATATTGACGTGAATAATTTAATTTATGATCATTTGTTAGATTTACTTTAATATATTATCCAGATGAGACGTTAATGTAAGTACGTTAGGTAAACATGTGACATACTGGGAAAAGTCACAGCTGTTTTTCTATGACTTAGGCAGCTAAACTGAGTTATGGACACGCGGAAACTCAGAAGTTGGACAACTCGACAGGGTGGGAGAGACAGGCAAGCTTCAAAATAAGACACTGAAGAATAGCAGTAATCAGAAGACGAATTGCCACGCAGATACCTCTCGCCCTTTTCCACCTTTGTCAGCCATACATACTGATACAGACAACCAAATACAGTAAACTGTCGGCCCAGGAAAAGCCAGAGACAAGCACGCAGAGAACATCCACCGCTGTACAACCTCTCTTCGTTCGCAACTCTATCCGGCTACCAAACGCAGTCAGGCAAGCAAGCAATCAGACGACCCATTCAGCCCACAACAGCCACAGGGCAGAAACAAGCAAGCAAACATGAATGCCCGAACCACCAGCGCCGCTAAACACCTCTGCCGCTATCTCTCGCTCTCTCTCTCTCCCTCTCTCCCTCTGCCTCACTCTCCCCGCTGGTGACTCAGTAAGTGGGCCTTGTGGACACAGCTGATGGGTTCCTGTGTCCCTGGAGAGAGTGGCTGGAACCTGGGAACCCGAGGCTCACCTTACTCTCCCTCCGTGATTGGTTCTCCGCCGGCTCCAGCTTTCATTACCCGAGCCACAGTTTCTGTCTCTGATGACGTGATTACGATGGCTCCCCGCTGCTTGTGATCCACGGTTATTTGACTGGCGGTAAAAGGTTAATTGGCCGGTAATTTACGCTGGATTAATGGGGATTATATCTCTGAGATGGCGTCTGGGAGGTTAATGGGACAGTAAGTTGAGTTGGAGTAATGAGGTCATGGTGTAGGAGGGGACGGTCGAGGGTCTTTGGAAGTGGAGGGTTGCCTCCATTGAGATTCTCGGTCAGGTGATCTTTTGAGCTGGAAATGTTGGATGGCTTCGGGTCGTGAGACGGCTCCGGCGCTCTGTTTGCTCGCTGGCTAATTAGGTACAGGTCAAGCTCTGGTCCATGAAAGGTGTACATAAATCATTCCTTATGGTCTTGCTTCCCTGATTACACTCTTACTCAACATTCTAAAGGCTCGTTACATCTTTGGTTGTCATTCTATTCACTAACTTTGCAATAGTGTTAGCGCAGTCTGTTCACAACCGATTGGTCTTGGGTTCGATTCTCTTGCATGGCGAGACGTATGGGCACGTTGTGTTACAAGCGATGCTTCTCTTCAGCTAGCAGTAAAGAAGTACATATGGGAGTTAGTCAATTACACACAGAAATAGCATCACATAAAACAAGGAGGCAAGGCAAGATGTGTAGAAGAGTTCCGTTGAAAAGCAGAGGTGCAATGGGAACGCTGAGAGAGAACTCTTGTCAACATAAAGAGGCCAAGACTTTTCAAAACGTTCCTGCTTCGCGTAAGGGAAATAACCGGCCGACCTCTCAGTGCTCAAATGAGAACTCAACAAACACCTCCAAAGGATACCTGATCAAACAGGCTGTGATTTACACGTCAGGCTGCGAGCAGCCGAAACCAACAGTCTGGTTGACCACACCACAAACCAGGAGGCCTCGTCAGAGACCGGGCCACGGGGACGTTGATTCTTCGACCATGATAAGGTAACCCACAACGTAGGTAAGATGGGTTACATCTTGGAGGAAGGTCCGTCGTTGACGAGGGAGGCTATTGAATCTAATAGGCTTCCTGTAGAAACCAAAAAACTTACATATTACATTCACATAAATTATATTTTATATTAGCGATTAACTTTATCACTTCCTTAGTATACACTCAGGAATTTGTTGACGTTTTCCTACATAATGTAAGTAGATTGCATTGTTCATAACATTGTACCGTGAATGCAAGGCTCATTTGTTGAATTACAGTCATTCTTGGCTTATTTACGGCTTGTCTCGTAGTTTATAGAATACAGGAGATAATAAGCTGAACTGTCTTCCACATACAACGATCTCGACCTCACAGTTAATTAATTTAATTTCAGAACTTTATGACTATGTGAATGGCTTTTAGCTAACATAATTATGTGGAAGGTCCCGCTAATGAAAGGATGACACATCCTCAGGTACAGTTTAGCCTGCCAGCCTGCATAACGAGGAAATGAGAGAGGTGTCGTCACTATGGCAACCTCCATAAAATGGGAAGGGATTTTCTATGGGACTTTCTATGTCAACCTAAATAATAGGGGAAAAGGGGAGGAACCCATTCTGGTAGGCTCCATATATCACATGTACTAGTTAACTCTACTAGTAGTTTATATACAAATTATGACATGCATCATATGCAGGCTCTGTTTCGTAAAATATTAACGATATCTTCGGTTGCGGCTTTCTTAGCGTCATACAATTGTAACAAACATTTGAGAATATATTTCATATTATCGTGTATATTAGTATAATTGATTCACTATTAGCGTGGACATATTGCCTGTTGAGGTTGAGTCATACATAATTCTTGTGGAATATAACGAATAGCTAATTATGTATAGAACGTTCCATTAAAGTTTAAAAGTGTTTAAATGTTTAGGCTTTAGGCATCCTCGTCAGGTCGATACCTTACTATAAGTATTCCTTTTGGTTCTCGGTGTTTATTATCGGGTTTACGTTGAGCGTTAAACGGCACCAGAGGTAAAGAGGTTGTCTAAATTATTAATGATGTTAATTAGATATCAGAAATGGATGAGAATAATATTAGTTGTTGGTATGTTGTTGTTGGCGAGGAAGGGATGGAGGGGGGGGGGGGGGGGGGGAAGAGAGGGAAGGGAAGTGAGGAAGAGGGATTGATATGGAGGAGAGAGAAGAGTGATATAGAAGGTGAGAAAACATGAGAGAGGGAGATAGGGAGAGGAAGATAAAAGGAAGGGATATGAAAGTGAGAGGGGTGGGGTGGTGGAGTGAGAGGAGGGAGGGAAGGAGGAAGGTGGTGTGAGAAGAGAGGAGTTGGAGTGAGGTTTGTTGTAATGGGGGATGTATAGGAGTAATATTTGTGTAACCTATATTGTTATTATTCACTGTTTAAATACTATTGGTACTTTTCATTTTATTTTAAATCTTGGAATTTGTTTTCATATTCCATTTCCTGTTATTTAAAATATAAATTTCACAATTTGATACAAATATAATACCTAATTATCTGACTAATTAGTATTTAAGAACTGTTACATCAAGGGTTGCATATTAAGTTAAAAACGTTTTAACTATATTATAA